GTTTCTCCAAATCACATATATGGTAGAATACTTGATATTGTCCAACGGGTAGCTGAGGCTCTATTTATCCCCCTGCCAGCTTTATTTTCTTTATATGCTTAACTTTAGATAGTTTTTTATTTCTATGCCTTCAAGATCACTGATTTTTAATTGCATTGTTTAATTTTCTCTTAGCCATAACAGTATTTTTTCCATTTCTTTTTTGTAGTCTCTATTTCTTTTTTTTTTTGTAGTCTCTATTTCTTTCCTCACTTTATTTATGGTTTTCTTTTTTCTTGAACTTATAATAGATGGTGAAAAATTCTTACCCATTAATTTCATAAATGCTGTCATTTTGGGGTCTATTTTTATTTATTTATTTAAAAACTTTTAATTTCGTATTGGGGTATAGCTAATTAACAAACAATGTTGTGATAGTTTCCAGTGAACAGCAAAGGGTCTTAGCCATACAATACTCTATTTTCATTGTCTGATTTTTCTGCTGACTATAGATCACATTTTCTTTTTTAATTTAATTAATTTATTTGGTGGCTGGAAGAAGCAAGTCTAGTAATTTTTTATCAGATGCTAGACATTGTAAATGTTACATTGTTGAGTTTCTGGATTTTATTTCTCTCTTTTAAAAAGTATTGGACTTTGTGTTGGCAGGCAGCTAATTTACCTGACTATCAGCTTGATACTTTTGAGGCGTGTATTTAAACTATGTTAGGATAGGTCTAGAGTAGTTTTACTCTTAGGTTTATAGAGTCCTACTTCTAAGGCATAGCTTTTTTGAGATCTCTACTGAATGCTCTGAGTATTCAACAAGGTCTGTTCAGTCTGACTGGTTGGAACCCAAATTCTCCCATCCCTATGTAGGTGTCAGTAATTTTTCACTTTGTAATTTTTCAGCAGCTGTTTTTTACCTGGTAGTTGACTTTTGGCCAGTTTCATGTGATCTTCCCTTGCACTTCCATGGATGGGCAGTCTATTTATTAGTCAAAGACTCACAGGGCCACTATGAAAATTCGTGGAGCTCCTTTTTTGCGTAGCTCTCTTCTAGATCATGGCATCTGGTCCCATCACTTCATGGGAAATAGATGGGGAAACAGTGGAAACAGCATCAGACTTTGTTTTGGGGGGCTCCAAAATCACTGCAGATGGTAATTGCAGCCATGAAATTAAAAGACGCTTACTCCTTGGAAGGAAAGTCATGACCAACCCAGACAGCATATTAAAAAGCAGAGACATTACTTTGCCAACAAAGGTCCGTCTAGCCAAGGCTATGGTTTTTCCAGTGGTCATGTATGGATGTGAGAGTTGGACTGTGAAGAAAGCTGAGCACAGAAGAATCGATGCTTTTGAACTGTGGTGTTGGAGAAGACTCTTAAGAGTCCCTTGGACTGCAAGGAGATCCAACCAGTCCATCCTAAAGGAGATAAGTCCTGGGTGTTCATTGGAAGGACTGATGCTGAAGCTGAAACTCCAATACTTTGGCCGCCTCATGTGAAGAGTTGACTCACTGGAAAAGACCCTGATGCTGGGAGGGATCGGGGGCAGGAGATGGGGACAACAGAGGATAAGATGGCTGGATGGTATTACCGACTCAATAGGCATGGGTTTGGGTAAACTCTGGGAGTTGGTTATGGACACGGAGGCCTGGCGTGCTGCGATTCATGGGGTCATAGGGTCGGACACGACTGAGCTACTGAACTGAACTTCTCTCTAGTATGCTCTTCACAAGATCATACCTCCTCAGACTTCCCAAAATCTACTCTCTGTCCCTTCATCTTACCACTGTACTCTGCTTGGATTTGCTGTCCCTGTAATATTGTTTGGAGAATATCTCTTGTCAGATAGTTAGGAGAATTGAAGGTTAACATAATTTGTTTTCTTTCCTCTTCTCTCAGGGATTGTGATCTTGTGTTGCCTTTGTCCAATATGTGAAAACAGTTATTTCATCTATTCTGTAGTTTTCTCGTTTTTTTAATTGAATAGTGGGAGAGCTAATCTGTCAGATTACTTTTCCATGTCAGAAATATACAATTAAATTTTCCCTCATTATAGAATTATATTTTGCATTTTTTTTTTACTTCAAAGGTGTCATTCTTTAAAGACATTGTCTTCTGTCTTGCACTGCTATCTTTGTTTTTCCAAATGTAATGTGTCTTTATCAGGAATGAAAAGTAAGACAACAATAGGATATATTTTACTACTATTTTGCTAATAAAAAAGAGTATAGTGTTCATAAGTATCATAGAAATGGGTGCATATATACTTCTGGTAGTGCACATTGTCAAAGCCTTCTTGAAGGGACAATTTATCAAAAAGATTAGAGGCCTTTAGCCCCACATCAGGAAAAACCCAAGTTTCCATCAGCAGATGAATGAATAAAGAAAATGTGGTATATACATATAATATAATGTCAGCCATAAAATGAATAAAATTCTGCTACATGCTACAGATGATTGAAACTTGGAGACATGCAAGTGAAAGAAGTCAGACACGAAAAGGACAAACATTGTATAATTCCACTTAAATGCGGTACCTAGAATAGGCAAGTTCATAGACATGATAGGTAGAGTAGAGATTAATAGGGGCTGGGAGAGGTGGAATGGGGAATTATTGCTTCAATGGGTAGAGAGCTTTTACTTGAGATAATATAGTTCTGGAAATAGACAGTGGTGATAGTTACACAATGTTGTGAATGTACTTAATGCCACTGCAGTTTTACTTTAAAAATGTTTAAAATATGTATATTTTATCACAATTTTTAAAAATGTTAATGAGAGGCTTACAAAAGGTGGTTTTTTTTTTTTTTTGGACAAAGCCATTATTCTTGCAAGACAGTATCCCAAGGAAAATACAAGGAAGTATGTAAAGATTGAATCACAAGAATGTTTTGTTAAGAGTATTTTTACAGAAACAAAATGAGACAAAACAAAAGCAAATACAATTTATTTATTTTTTTTGGCAGTGGTACCCGACTTGTGGGATCTTAGTTCCTTAATCAGGGATTGAACCTGGGCCCCAGTAGTGAAAACATGAAGTTCTAACCACTGGATCACCAAGTAATTCCCAAGAAAACAATTTTAATATCCTAAAGCAAGCCATTGATGAAACATACTATGATGGACAATAAACTGCCATAGAGACATTTAAAAAAAGACGTAAGTTCTTTTTAAGAAGAATACTGAATTACATGGAAAGGCTAAGAGGAAATACTGTAAAATGTTAGTGGTGGTTATTTCTGGATACTGGGATTATAAATGGAAATTTTTCTTTTATGTACTTTTTCTGTTTTAAATTTATTACAATAAATATGCATTTTAATATACTGAAGAAATAAAGTTTATTTTTAAATGTTTTATCCATCCTTCAGAGATCAGCTGAAAAGCTATTCATCTGTGAACTGTTCTCAGAATCTTCCAACTGAATATGACTTTTTCCTTCTTCAAATTCTATAGCCCCTTACATGTCTCTCATGGTACTTGTCACACGGGCCTATACTAAAGTTATTTATTAATATGAATCTGATTTGCCTCTCCTGCTGAGCATATGTGGGACTGACGCCTTATCAGGCACTGCCGAAATCAGGGGTATTGACTTTCCACACTACTTGATTAGCAATCTTTTCTAAAAAAAAAAATGTTTTTTATTTATTTGGATGCACCGAGTCTTGGTGGTTGCACATAGGGCCTTCAATCTTCATTGTGGCGTGTGAGATCTTTCATTGTGGCATGCAAATTCTTAGTTGCAGCATGTGGGATCTAGTTCCCTGACCCGAGATCGAACTTAGGCCCTCTGCATTGGGAACGTGGAGTCTTAGCCATAGGACTACCAGGGAAGTCCCTTGATTAACAATCTGTATGACTCAGATTAGCCCCCTTAGCAGGAGCTAGTCTGATCTAGACACCAAAATTGATCTAGAGAAAGGACTGGGTCATCCTGAATTCAGGTTATTTCTAAGGTTAATGATATTTGAATGACTTATTTAACACAGGATTTATAAACAAAGGAAATTATTGGGAAGAACAGTACTATGTAAACTACTTATATATTCATCAAGAAATTAACATAGGCAGACATAGAATTAATTACGAGTGTGTTTTTGTTTAATGCCAATCCTCTGCTTAGAGTTCCTCTTCTTGGATGGCAAGCTTGTTTTAACTGGATTGTTAAAAAACAATATTTTATCTAGCAATAACGTCCCAGATAATAATATGCTAAAATGCTCAAATACAAACACAAACTCAGTGAATTATAGTTCCTAATGCGCAATGCAAGGTACGGAGTTTTCCGCTCCACTTATTTCTGCCCGTGGTATAAACCTTTTTGCACTTTGTACATATTTATTCCTACTAGATTTGGAGCTCCTTACGGCAGTAGAAATAAGGTTAGTCTTATTCACATCTGAATTCCTGGTTCTTGTTACCTAGTATGTAGTGAAACATAATACAGATGTTTGTTGAACTAAAAACCCTAGCCGCTAGCGTTCAGAGTCAGAAGACCTGGGTTCAAATCTCAGTTCCACTTGCCAAGGGCAAAACTCTTAGCTAATCTGAATTTTACTTTCCTCCACTATAAAAATCAGATTTTTTTTTTTGGCCAGGCTCAGGTGGTTTAATGAGTTTTACTTACTGGATAAAAGTGTCAGTTTTGCAATGGAAAAAAACAAATGTCGGACTTCCCTGGTGGCACCCTGGCTAGTAATCGGCTTGCAGATGTTTGATCCCTGGTCTGAGAAGCTTCCACATGCCACAAATCAATTATGCCTGTGTGCCACATCTATTGAGCCCTCCCTCTAGAGTCTGGGAGCCGCAACTCTGGAGCCCAAGCACTCTAGAGCCCGTGTTTTACAAGAGAATCCAGCTCAGGGAGTAGCCAGAGCACCGCAACTAGAGAGGAGGCCCCCTCATCCCAGACCACAGCAAGAAGAGAAACCTGGCCGCAGCAACAAAGATCCAGTGCAACCAAAATCAGTCAGTAAAACGCCAGAACAAGCGCACCTCTGGCCCCTGTCAGAGCCCAGAGGGTGCTGGCCAGCGGACACCGGGCCACCCAGGGCGCCCGCGGGGCTGGGGCCGCTTCAGAGCCAAGAGGGGCTGTGGGCAGCACTGGCCGCATTCCGTGCGCTTCCCGCTCTGGGCGCGCAGGGCCCGGCTGTACCCTCTGGGCTTCGAGCTTCTTGAGGATGCGATGCCCGCGGAAGCAGGAGGCGCGCCGGCCTGCAGCAGCAGGCAGTCGTCACTCCGCATGTCCAGGCAGCTGCCGCTGAAGGCCGTGTGGAAGATGCTGCAGTTCTCATGGTTGGCCTCCCAGAGCCAAGGGACCAGGCCGTTCCAGCACTTGACCTTCACCTTCAGGGCACAGGGAGCCTGCCTTCCGGTGGCAGCGCCTAGACTGTAATATTGTTATGAGAATTAAATGGGAAAATGAATATGAAGGTTTTCTAAACTGTCTGTCCCATGTTAAATTTGTTATTAATGAAGTCTTAAAGTAGAGAAATGATTGTAAAATCATGGAATAACCAGGAGAGACCAGATACATGACTCCCAAAGGCCTCCACAAGATGGTGTTAATTCTCTTGGTATGTTTCCCCTGGCCAGGATCTTCCAAATATCCTGCAAGTTCAAACATCTGGTTTTGTCAGTGCAGAGAAGAAATCTTGGGGTCAGACTCATATTAGTCAAGCTTACATGTAAAAACCAGAACATATAAACTACAGTGTCAATTCACCAATTCACACCTATTCCATCTGCCATGAGAAACAGAAGGTTTAAGTCAGCACAATCAGCACGTCCCACAAACATCGCTCCTAATTTGGTCCAACAAATCATATTCAGAAGGTCACTTGGTGAAGATGCATGTTTCCCATGACTGCTGTAACAAATTACCACAGACGTGGTGACTAAAAACAGCAACAACTTATTCTGTCACAGTTCTGGATCCCTGAAGTCTGGATCAGCATTGCTGGATCGAAATCAAGGCACACCAAAGCAGCACCCCCCTCAGGGCTGGGAGGGAGAACCTTCTCCTGGCCTTTTCCAGGTTCTGCTGGGCGCCAGCACTCCTTAGCTTGTGACAGCATCACTCCAGTCTCGGTCTCCATCTTCACACTGTCTTCTCCTCTTTGCATGTGAAATTTGCCTTTCTCTCTGTTTTGTGAGGGATCCTTTGGTTACATTTAGTGCTCACTCAGATAATCCAAAATAATCGCCTCATCTCAAAATCCTTAAGCACATTTGCCAAGCCCTCCCTCACTTTTTGTTTTTGCCATGTAAGGTAATATTCCTAGGTTCCAGGGATTCAGGTTGGAAATTTAAATCTGAAAAGTAAATTATACTAGTAGAAACACTGAAGGCAGACTGCACAGTGTGATACACTTACTGTCACAGCAGGAAGAGCCTCGTCAGACAGCCTGAATGCTCAAATCCACTGCCAAGATTCACTTTCTCAACACAGCGCTTGGATGGCCATTGCCAAAGTTTGCTTCTGTGACTGCTTTTTGGTGCCTCCATGGCTAACGAAACTCCTTTTAATTGGCCTGATTTTTCTTTCCTCTTGTTCCTTCCTTCCTTTCTTTCCTTCTGCATTTTCTTTCTTTTGTGTAGACTTGGAACTATTTTATTTCTTAAATGGATGCCTTTGCCTAGCTCTATTACGATCCACTGCTTGTTAATGTTTATAGCTTAATTCTTTTTCCCCTACACTATGCAGCTTAGAGGATCTTAGTTCCCAGACCAGAGATTGAACCCAGGCTGTGGCAGTGAAAACCTGGAATTCTAACCACTAGACCACCAGGGAAATCCCCTAATTCTTTTTTTTAAAGTGCAAGTATAATTGACCTACAGCACTATGTTAGTTCCAGTTGCACAAAATAGTTATTCTATGGTTCTATATGTTACAAAATGATCACCACTGTAGCTTAATTCTTTTTTTTTAAAAAAGGCTAGAAACTATAACCAAGAGCCAAATGAAAGTTCTAGAACTGAAAAATAGAGTATCTGAAAATTTAAAAGTATTGAATGAACTTAACGGCACTTTAGAGATAGGAAAAAGTTGGTGAACTTGAAGATAGATTAATAGAAATGATTCAGTCTGAAGGCTATAGAGGAAAAGAAAAGGTTGAAAAATGTGAACAGAACTTCAGAAACTTATAATATCAGAAATCTAATATACATATATGTAACTGGAGTCACAGAAGGAGAGGAGAGAATGGGATAAAAAACTCTGTGGAGAAATAATGTTTGAACACTTTCCAAATTTGGTGGAAGTCGTAAGTTTTCAGATCAAAGCTGCTCCACAACTGTCATAGGAAATGTAAATTGGTACAGCCAGTGTGGAGAACATCATGGAGATTCCACAAAAACTAGAAATAGAACCATCATATGAGCCAGCAATTCCACTCTTGAGTATAATACCAAAAAAATATATGCACCCCAATGTTCATAGCAGTACTATTTACCATAGTCCAGATGTGGAAGCAACTTAAGGGTTGATTAACAGATGAACAGATAAAGAAGATATGAGATACACACACAATTGAATACTACTCAGCCTTAAAAAAGAAAATTGCCATTCCCAACAACGTAGGTGGACTTGGAGCGTATTATACTAAGTGAAATAAACCAGACCAAGAAAGAAATACTATATGATATCTCTTACATATGGAATCTAAAAAAAGCAAAACCAGTGAATATAGCAAAGAAGAAACAGACTCACAGATATAGAGAACAAACCAGTGTTTACAAGAGGGGAGAGGGAAGAAGGGGGACAGGATAGGGATGGGGATTAAGAGGCACAAATTACTTTATATAAAATAAATAAGCTATAAGGATATATAGCATAGCACAGAGATATAACCAATATTTAATAATAACTATAGAGTTTAAGCTTTAAAAATTGTGAATCATTATGTTATACACATGAACTATATGACACTATAAATCATCTATACCTCAATAAAAATAGATAAAATTAAGTAAAAATTAACAAAGTAGCTCAACACACCACATTTAAGCACATCACAGTCACACTGTTAAAAAACAAAAAACTAGAGCCAATCTTGAAAGTAGTTTGAGAAAAATGACGTGTTACCATACAGGCATCAGTGATTTGAATTACCGTGGATTTCTCATGAGGAACTATGGAGGTTAGAAGACAGTTTTAAGGACCCCCCCAAAAAAAACTATCAAAGTATAATTCTATATTTAGTTTTACCTAGCATAAACATAGCTGCTGGAAGCCACCCATCTGACCCCGTGGAAGGGGGACAGAGAAGGAGAAATCGTTGTGAGACAAACGCCCTGAGGAGGGAAACACCAGTTACCTGCATACACTTCTACCCTCTGCACATTTATTTTCATGCTCTAACTAGGGAATTTTGGCAGAAAAGTTTGAAAAGCACTGATAGAGTCGGTAAGCAAAGTAACGTATGAGAGATGAATGCTCACTCGTTATATTTGTCCAGTCAGAAAAGCCACTTTCAACTTGCTGTCAATAACACAAACTTCATCCACGCTGGGTTTGGCTCCCCGCGCTCTCTCAGCTCCCTGCCCTAACTGCCCTTTTCTCCTGCTTCTCTTTCACACTCTTCTGGCCACTGCTCTCCAGCACCGGCCTCACAGCAGAGGGATTACACCTTGCCAGTTCTTTCTGAGCTTACCGGTCACCATGGCCACTCTGGTCCGATTCCAGCTGCGCTTTGTGGCCAGTGATCCTTCTGGTTCTCAAAGGTCTCTCTCCTCTTTCCTCTCAGTGTGATTCTATCCCATCAATATCTGGCTTCCTTTTTGCAAGTAGGCAGATAATTATGTCACATTTCAATTTTTTTTTTACAATACGCTCTTGTAATAACACATCCACACACACTAAGGTCTTACAAAAATGGGCAACAGGCAAGCACACATACTTAGTAATCGCTTCTAGATTTAAAAAAATCTGAGAATACAGTCTTCCTTAGGGTCAGTGGTCTTCTTCCTCTGCTATCTTTTCCCCCCATTTCCCTTTTCCAAATCTTCTTTCACAGCTGAGGGGCAGTGCTCACTATGCCAAAGCGGCTGGCAGCTCCAACTCAGATGGGAATTGTGTCTCCGTCACTTTAAAACCCTCTAGCTCTTTCTTCCTCACTCTGCGCAGGATACATTGTATGGTGTCCTTGCTTCCCCGGTTGTCAAATTAATGAATGCACTAAAAGGCAAAAACGAAACTGCGCAGGTGGGGGACTGCCCTGGCGGTCCAGTGGCTGAGGCTCTGCGCTCTCAATGCAGGGGCCCCAGGTTTGGTTCCTAGTCAGGGAACTAGATCCCGCATGCCTCAACTAATAAATAAAAATACATAAAACTGCAGTGGTGAACACCCATCCTTAAGCAAGGGGCAAAAAAGGGGATGCAGAGGAGAAGGCTCTTCCTACACAGCCCCACCCTGAGGGCGACGCAGCCTCCTCACCACAGTAGCCTCTCCTCAGCGCTGCTGCCCTGACAGAAAGCAGAAACTTGGGTCTTTTCCAAGGCCTCCCCCGCTCATCTAGATACCGCCTCTTCAAAAGGGGAGGCTGATCTCCTTCCCCGGCTACCCCCCTTTCGAACACTTTGCCAGCACCAAAGGGAGCCAAACATGGAATTTCTAGGCCCATGACCGTCCCCAGATAAGAAGACAGGTCTGTTTCCTGCGGTCATGGAGTGCCAACAGGAGGTTAAAGTGCTCCCCGACTTCCCACTTCATTTGGAAAAACTCAAAAAAAAAATTGAGTTTTGTTAAAAAGTCTGCTGTTTATTAAGAAAAAGGCTGATGTTCCCAGAAGGAGCAAAAATCATGTCTGTCATTCCCGATGCTGAAAGGACACTTAAACTCATTCTTCTCCTCCCCTTCTATTCCAGATGCTAGAATTTCCCCGTTCATGCATCCCTTCAGCTTTGTGCTGGGTAGTGGGACCACCAACCGGGCCAGCAGAAGCCTCCAGCATCTCCAGGGGAGTCCCATGGGGTAATACCTATGTCTGTGAATTGGAGAAGGGGAGAAGATCTTGATCTCCCCAATGTTGACAGGGACTGAAGAACCGAGGGGTTTGGGTCTGACATCCTATCAAATGAAGCAGTTCAAGCTGCTGTCAAGCTAGTGTCTATGGGGCTCTTCAAGGAGCAGCAGGAGGGAATGCCAAAAAGTGTTTGTGATGGAGGCTGAGCAATGTGGGGGCATCCTGGGAACAGAGGACAGCGGCCAGGCCTGAGCCATGCCCAAGCCCCTCCTACTTCCCGGCGACGAACCAGACCCAGCTGTGCACAGTCCTGGCAAATCGTTTCCCATCTGGCTTCTAGGAACTCAGGACGAATTAAAGGAGTGTGTGTGTGGAAGGGGAGGGGGCGTCCTCTTGAAAACAGAGGTTTCCAAGGTGACGGCTTGGCGAGAAATCCATCCCATTTGGCCAGGGAAACTTCCCTCTCTCCTGACTCCCTCAGGTCTCCGAGGAGAAAACAGGCCAGAGGCGAGCACTATTTTCCCCACATTTCTCTAGATCAAGAGCAGTGTCTAGGCCAGTCCTAACTTGGTCACACCCTCTGTTTTTCTCACCTCCAGTTTCAGACTCCGAACTTGCCCTTTATATACTAGAATGTCCAGCCTTCCAAGTCACCCCCTTCAGGGAAGGATATTGTCAAAGAGGGTTGGGGATGTTTTAGAGACTGGCTTCTTCTGGGCTTAGAGACCTCTAACGTTTGCCTTCCGTCCACAGCTCCCTAGGCCCTGAGCAGTAGTGAATACTCTCAGAGTCTTAACCTACTTCCTGTCCCTACTGTTTAAAATATTTTAACTTAAACAATATTTCTATACAAACTCTACAGTCCTCAGCAGAGAGGGAAACCAGTTTGCAGGATGGGAGCAAGCCAGCCAAAGAACCAGGAGTTCTTTCAGACTCAAGTTTTCTTTTTGGGTCAGGCAGACCTCATGTCCTAACCCGTCACACACATTCCCACATGTCCCCCAGTGAGTGATGGCAAATTCAGAGGGAAAAAGAGCTGAGTCAGCACGGCTTAGAGGTGGGGACTGGCGGCAGGGCGGTCTTGATGCCATTGAGGGAACAGTGAGTCACGCAGCCCTGCATGCACATCCAGTCTGCAGCTCCTGGCTGTGGGGGGTTTGTTTGGGTGCCTGTGGAAACTCTTGAGAGACTGCAAAGATCATGGCTTGCGCCTGAGGTTCTGTTGCTTCCAAGCTGTGTGACCTGAAATGACCTGTTGGAGACTCAGTTCCCTTTTCTGTGATCTCTTGTGCTCAGTCATGTCCAACTCTTTGCCACCTCATGGACGGCAGCCCACCAGGCTCCTCTGTCCATGGGATTCTCCAGGCAAGAACACCGGAGCGGGTTGCCATTTCCTCCTCCGGGGGACCTTCCTGACCCAGGGTTCAAACCCGCGCTTCCTGTATCTCTTGCACTGCAAGAAGATTCTTTACTGCTGTGCCATGTGGACGCCCTCCCTGTCCTGTAGAAAGTGATAATGCCAGCCCACGGGGATGTTGTCAAGATTTAAATGAAATAAGCCATTTGGCAGCTTTTACACTTTCCCTCTCTGTTCTCTCTCTGGCTCCGTAGTGTCTAGAATGTGACTCCACCCCCCACGGACTTCCAGGTCCAGAGTGAGTGTCCACACTTTACCTTGTATAACAACCACCATATCTCCTGGGCATCCCTGAATGGCTCAGTGGTAAAGAATCCGCCTGCCAATGCAGGAGACGCAGGAGATAGGGGTTCAATTCCTGAATTGGGAAGATTCTCTGGAGAAGGAAATGGCAACCCACTCCAGTATTCCTGCCTGGGAAACCCCACGGACAGAGGACCTGGCAGGCTATAACCCTTAGCATCGCAGAAGAGTCGGACATGACTTTGTTACTAAACAGCACCATCAACAACTATCTCTCTCAGGAACACGGTAACAGACACTCTTAAACATCCTTCCCCAACTCCCACTTTTTTTTTTCCTCTATGAGGTGTCTAAAGGGAGGGAGTAATCTGCCATCACATTCTTTTTACTTTACTCCTTTCCCTCTCTCCACAGACCGCAAAGCTCCTGTTCCTCCCCCACTAACTTCACTACTTCCTGTCACTTTCGCATCCATTCCACCCACCCAGGGCCTGAGCTGGCGTGAACAAGGCTGGAGCTGAGCTCAGAGCCACAGACAGGTTCAAGTAACTGCATCAAAATGTTGCTAGTGGTTCTCTTTTGGGTAGAATTTACTGGTGGTTTTCATTCTCTTCCTTGCTCATTTTGGTATTTTCCAAATTTACTGTAATGAGCAATGGATAACTTATTCAGAAAAAAAAATACGTAATTTTAATCAGAAAAAAATACATAATTTTCAATTGGCCCATGTCCTATTCTCAAAAGAAGAGGGACTGAGCGGTGATGGAAAGAGGAAGAGAAGGGCAGGGCTGAGAAAAGCTCTGCAGGGGGCTGGTTCCCAAGCTCTCTCATTTCCTGGGGGCATCAGCCTTGATCGAGGCCTCAGTCACAGCTTTTGTCACTCATCAGCTGGTGGCTCTGTCCTTGCTTGCCTGACCAGTCATTTGAGACTTAGTCACTTGACTGTGAGCCAGCTGAGCGCTGAGTGGGTCAAGACGACCAGCATCATCGAGGGCAATGGTGAATCAGGAGGATGCCCCACCTCTCCTGGGCTGTGAAGGGTTCCCCAGTGGCCCACCAATCTTCCAGCCTGGGGTGTGGGGAAGGGCTCAGAACTGGTACCCTAGTGAGAACACGTGCTCAGTAGCCCTTTCCCTCACTTCTGTCCCTACTTCCTTGTACATGTGAGTGGCGTATAAATGTGTGATGCACACGTGATGGTGGGAACTGCAGTGGCTCCTAACCACTCCCAGAAAAAGGCTCCAAGAGGCAGCCTGGTGCTGGAAAGACATAGGTTAGGAGTCGGCAGGAGGGGTTGAACATATGCCAGGCCGGTTAGGAGCTCCATGTCCTTAGTCGTTTCCTTCTTTGGTTCTCCATTTCCTCTCTTAAAAAATGGCCAGACATACACACCGAGGAAACCAGAACTGAAAGAGACACGTGCACCCCAATGTTCATCGCAGCACTGTTTACAGTAGCCAGGACATGGAAGCAACCTAGATGCCCATCAGCAGACGAATGGATGAGGAAGCTGTGGTACATATACACCATGGAATATTACTCAGCCATTAAAAAGAATGCATCTGAATCAGTTCTAATGAGGTGGATGAAACTGGAGCCTATTATACAGGGTGAAGTAAGTCAGAAAGAAAAACACCAATATAGTACATTAACGCATATATATATGGAATTTAGAAAGATGGTAATGATGACCCTATATTCAAGGTAGCAAAAGAGACACAGATGTAAAGCACAGACTTTTGGACTCTGTGGGAGGAGGCGAGGGTGGGATGATTTGAGAGAACAACATTGAAACATGTATATTACCATATGTGAAATAGATCGCCAGCCCAGGTTCGATGCATGAGGCAGGGTGCTCAGGGCTGGTGCACTGGGATGACCCAGAGGGATGGGATGGGGAGGGAGGTGGGAAGGGGGTTCAGGGTGGGGAACACATGTGCACCCGTGGCTGATTCATGTCAATGTAAAAAAGCCATAGGAAAGACAAAAAAAAATAATTGCCAGAATAATTATTCCCTCATAGGAGGACAGTGAGAATTAAATGGAATAATATAGAAATGGAAAGCTCCCCTGGTGGATCAAGCAGTGAAGGATCCACCTGCAATGCAGGAGCTGCAGAAGACACAGGTTTGATCCCTGGGTGGGGAAGATTCCTTGGAGAAGGCAGTGGCTAACCACGTTAGTGTTCTTGCCTGGAGAATCCCATGGACAGAGCAGCCTGGTGGGCTGCAGTCGCACAGAGTTGGACACAACTGAAGCAATTTAGCACAGCAGAATACAGACATCGCCTGACACAAAGTAGTTTTCTCCTTCTCATTCTATTACAGTGAAGTTTAACAGTGCAGAAATTCATGTAACCTTGGTGGGTCCAAAGTAGGTTTTTCTTTCTTTCTTTTTTTTTAAGTAGGTTTTCCTAATGTAAGTTTTTCTCTTCTATGTTAAATAGCACTGAAGACCCTCTCTAAACTCCCAGTCACTCTCCCACCCTGGTCATTCGTCTGACAAGCATTTATTAAGCACCACCAAAAGCACTGAGCTAGCCTGGAAGGGGCACTCGGGACTCAGTGGTCAATGACCCTTAGAGCCGCTCACTGAGCCCGACGGACTTTGCTCTGCGCTTTTACTCACGACCTGCAGTGTCCCTGCTCCTCAGGACTCTTTGACCCCATCCAACTCACAGCCAGCCTTCTCTTTGAACCCTCCCACGGCCTCATGGCCCTCAGGATGGGGCACCTCCTGCCTGACATCCTGGTTCCCCGCATTCCAGGTGTTTGAATTGGTCTCACCATGTCTGCAGGCAGGGAGTCTCAAACCTCCCCGTGGGCAGGCTCTAGACTTTACTTCTTCCTTTCGGGGATAACCTCCACCCCCACCCACACGTTCCAGACTCATCAAGGGCTTGAAATAATGACTTTTTATTAAGGCAGACACAAGTAGGCTTCAAAATCATTTGAATTCTCAGCTTGGTCTTGGATGCAAAGAAACTGAGATCTCACCCTCCGTTCTTTCATCTGCAACCCAAGCACCTAAGCAATTTGCTTCCTACCTCTTAGTTTTATTGCTCCTGTCCTCGGGCAAACAGGGAGACATGAAAGTCACAGATAAGGGGTTTATTGCCCAGCGGTCCCTGGGTCACAGGAATGCCCAACTTCAGAGGATGCTCTGGCCCCTGGTCCTAGTCTGGGCAGATATCCTGCTTCCGACCCCGCAGCATGCCCGCCTCCAGGACAGCGTGGGAGTCTTTCTGAGTCCAGCAGAGATCCCTGGGGGCTGGGCTGGAGGCTCTCCGTGACTTCCGCTCCCTGGCAGGGCAGGGGTTAATGGGGACTTGCAACATCTCTGGGCTGAGTCACCTCCTGCTGACACTCCCCCCAGTTTCCCTCCCTTGAAGCTCTATAAAGAGGACCAGAGACTGGAGCCTGAGAAGAACTGGAGGGAAGACCCCCCCACGCCCGCCCCACACCTAGCCCTGCTCCCTCAGGCTCCCAGGACTCTCAGAGCAGAGGGCACAAGCGCTGCAGCTCTTGCCTGGTGGGAGCATGGACTGGCAGCGGCTGTGGCTGGGCTTCCTACTCCCGCTGACCGCCTCAGGCCGGGTCGTGGGGCCTGGAGAGAAGGAGGCAGCTGTGGTGAGTCTCCTGGGAAAGCCAGACCCAGGCTGGGGGAGGGACTGCTCCTTAGTCCCATCCAAGCTGCCCCTCTGACCTACAGCTGCCTGCCCTGCCTTTTGCTCCTCTAGGCCACGACCCACCCCTACCCATCCCTACTCCCCTCCTCATACTCCCCTAAGATGCCTCTCCTTCAGTCCTTCCACATCTGTCCCCTCCTATCCCAGTGGGCTGTTTGGTCACGTAGAAGCTTCACCCAGAGACTAATCCCCTTTTGATTTTATCTGTTGACCCCTACCCTCATCATAGGATTACTTGTTGCGGTATGGTTACCTACAGAGGCCTCTAGAAGGACCTGACAACTTCAGGCCTGAAGATGTCATAGAGGCGCTGAGGTGAGAGGTTGTAAGGTGCATGCCTTCAGGGTCAGGTTCACGAGATCCTTTTCTCTTCTCACCTCTTCCATTCCCCAGGCCCACCTCTGCCTGCCTCACATGCATTTCGGGGATCCAGGGAATGCGTGGTGGGACCTGGGGTCAGAGGGGCAGTCAAGGATGAGGGCACAGTTGTTGGATCTTCCTAGGCCCTAAGCACCTCTTTGGAGGCTCCATCCCACATTATAGCCAAAATACTATTATTTGGCCATGTCCTGCAGGAGGTGTAATTTATATAAGTTGGAGCTGAGTTGTTGACATGATGTTGCCTTTCAAAGACATTTAATCCAGCGTTTATTTCTTTCTGTTTTGAAGTTTTCTTTTCACATTTTGGGTCTAATGGGTCGTTTCTCAGATATGTTCCCAGTCCATGGAAAAGCCACAATACTTGCTGTGCCTGATGGATGAAATTGCCCCAGAGCAGGCAGGCTGGACCGGGGACGGGGTGTCCAGCCAGGAGGGGGGAAAGCAGAGGGAGGATGGGCCCTCGGGTGGCGGCAGTGGTGAGGGAGTCTCAGAGAAGGCGTCGGAGCTTCCCAGGGCAGGAGGAGGCTAGAGATTGCGGTAGAGGAAGAAGTCAGCGCCGGGGAGCACGTTACCCAAGTAAGAGCGTGAACACAGGGAGGTGAGGCTGGGGCACTGCCGTCTGTGCGGAGCAGAAGAGGAAGGCTGGGTTACGAGGACTGGGCCCTGAAGCGGTCCCGTCGCCTCCAGAGCTTTTCCGCCAGCCTCTGTCGTCACGTCCGGCCAAAGGGGACCAAAGAGCTATCCCCATTTCTCAGTTGTTCCAGATGCCCCAGTCCTGCTGGCCCATCCCTCTCCCTCTTCCCAGAGCTTTTCAGGAAGCATCTGAGCTGCCGGTCTCAGGTCGGCTGGATGATGCCACAAGTGCCCGTATGAGGCAGCCCCGCTGTGGCCTGGAGGACCCCTTCAACCAGAAGACCCTTAAATACCTGCTGCTGGGTGAGAACTGAGCCTGGGAAGGGGGGGTGGTGATCATGACTCTGGAGCAGAGGTGACATTGGGACAGCCTGGACCAGCTCGTCACTGAATGGATGGTAATCTGGTAATTGACTGATCACCACTTGCCTGGAAGGGCTGTTTCTTGGCTTTGCTGACTGAGTGCCCACACTCAGGGGAGCTGTCCAGAGCTGGCAAAGGTTTCTGTGCTTCTAATCTACTTTTTGGTTCGATAACCAGGCCGCTGGAGAAAGAAGCATCTGACCTTCCGCATCGTGAACCTACCGTCCACCCTACCATCCTACACAGCCCGGGCAGCCCTGCTTCAAGCCTTCCAGTACTGGAGCAGTGTGGCTCCCTTGACCTTCCGCGAGGTGAAGGCTGGCTGGGCAGATATCCGCCTTTCCTTCCATGGCCGCCATAGCCCGTACTGCTCCAATTCCTTTGACGGGCCCGGTAGGCACCAGCTCTCAGCTCTCCCACCTCACAGGCCTCTGTCTCCTTGAGTCAGTGACTCTGGAAACTTAATGTCAGGCTACCCCCCTATGCTCAACTGCACCCACACTCTCCAACCACCATCTCATATTCCCTTGGGGAGCAACATGTCATCTCCCTGGGGCCTCAGCAAGCCTGTTCCTTTGAAGCTTATGCCTTCTTCCTTAGCTTAAGTTCCTCTGCCCAGGGCATGCTCCAGGGAGGACTGGAGGGCCAAAGACAGCAGAGTGGCCGGGAGGTAACAGGACAGAGCGATGGGCATCCGTGAGAGATCGGGGTGGTGACAGGGAAATCTGAAAGGAGTGAGAGGTGTCCAAGAGATAGTCTGTCTGCTTGGGGGGATCTTAAGGGAAGAGAGTAACTGGAGTTTGTAACAGGCAGGGGATGCTCAGCCCTAGGAGACTCTGATCTCCTGCCTGTCCACCTTTGCCTTGTCCAGGGCGGGTCCTGGCCCATGCCGACATCCCAGAGCTGGGCAGCGTACACTTTGATGAAGATGAACTCTGGACTGAGGGGACCTACCGGGGGGTGAACCTGCGCATCATTGCAGCCCATGAACTGGGCCATGCCCTGGGGCTGGGGCACTCGCGATACACCCAGGCCCTCATGGCTCCTGTCTACGCTGGCTACCGGCCCTACTTCAAGCTGCACCCTGATGATGTGGCTGGGATCCAGGCTCTCTATGGTTAGTCCTTTCCCCTAGTCCTCATGAGGGTCAGTCTGACCAGTGTCTCTTCAAGCATAAAGACACAGGTCTAATCTTCATGGAGGGAAGTGGCCTGGCTTCTTTCTCTTCCTCCTGCCCCGTTATTCAGGCTTCTTCATTTTCAGGAGTTGGTTTTCTTGTTTCGGCCTCACTGCGTGGTTAGTGGTATCTCAGTTCCCCAATCAGGGACTGAACCCTGGCTGTGGCAGTGAAAGCCTGGAGTCCTAACCACTAGGCCCCCAGGGATCTCCCGGGAGCTCTGTTTCTGACACTTCCAGGTCTAATCTTCCTTCCAGACCTCTCTCCTCCGACACCTGCTCTAGTGGATGAACAATGAACATTCCAGCAATCCCCTCTCTCCCTTTCTAGTGCCTCTCAAAACTAAAACATGTCTCCTGCTGGTATCAGTGTGATCTTTCCTCCCACCAACGAAAGCTCTCCAGGTTTTCATCTTCCTCTCTATGCGACCTCTGAGCTTAACTTACAGTAGGAGCGTGGGCAGGCCAGTGCTCTGAGTTCTTTCCCTGTGCAGTATTAGTTACCTTGCAGGCAAGAAGAGCCCAGAGATAGGGGAGGAGGAGGAGGAAGACACGACACTCCCCACTACAACCCTAGTGCCCACAGAACCCAGTCCCATGCCAGACCCCTGCAGTGGCGACCTGGATGCCGTGATGCTGGGTAAGACCCTTTCCCTCCAGGCTTGTAGGCAGGCAGTGGGGCAGGCCGCTGTCCTTGAGACCTGGACAAATGGGAGTGACATAGGACCTCAGGGTGATCAGTGGAGGTTAGACTCTAGGCAGGGGTTAGTGACCATGGATGGAGGCATGTGGCCTGGGGAGGGAGGATTCAGAGCTAAACTCAAGATGGGCCAGGCAGGACATTACCTCCGTTGTTGGCCTGTGAGAGCCACCAAACACATCCGGAAATACAGCAAGATGGAGAAAACAGTCTTGACAAATGTCTATAGAGAGGGTGTTATACCCACATGGAAGGACAACTTGGAAGCCACCTGGAGTAGACGGTGAGGTCCCTAAGTGGGAGCAGCTATCCACAGGGCTGATTTGCTGTGAATGACAAAGGAGAGGCTGAACACTTCTCTGCCCTTAATAATCCTCTCCTTGAATGAAAGTTGAATGAATCTTTGGGGAATCAGCCTGCCTGAGTTACCCAGAAGTCTTTATTTGACCGCTGTCTTAAAAAAAAAAAATTATTTGGCGGCCTCAGGACTTTGTTTCATCACATGGGGTCATTTGTTGAGGCACATGGTCTATCTAGTTGTGGCTCAAGGGTTCCAGAATCCATGGGCTCAGTCGTTGTAGCACATGGCTTAGCTGCTCTGAGGCATGTGGAATCACCCTGGACCAGGAATCAAACCCGTGTCCCCTGCATTGGCAGGCTTATTCTTAACCGCTGGACCAGTAGGGAAGTCCCGATACCTGTCTTTTTGACTTGTTGACACACCTCCTGCTCTTAGGGCCCCGAGGAAAGACCTACGCCTTCAAGGGAAACTATGTGTGGACTGTGACAGATTCAGGATTGGGTCCCTTGTTCCAAGTGTCTGCCCTCTGGGAGGGGCTCCCAGGAAGCCTGGATGCAGCTGTCTACTCTCCTCGGACCCAATGGATACACTTCTTTAAGGGTAAGGGCGCTAGTTTACACCGTGCTGCCAGAGGAAGGCCTGTGATTAGAGACGCCATAAAAGGAGGGAGGGATGAGAAGTTTCTAGAGGGTGGAACGGAGGAGCTGAGAGTTATCACCTGGGGACAGAGGTGACTTGTTCTTTCCTTATATGCTCTCAGGAGACAAGGTGTGGCGCTACATTAATTTCAAGATGTCTCCTGGCTTTCCCAAGAAGCTGAATAGGGTAGAACCCAACCTGGATGCTGCTCTGTACTGGCCTGTCAACAAGAAGGTGTTCCTCTTTAAGGTATAGCCCTCAGAGGAAGGGCAAATCCCTCGCAGGAGGGGCGGGCCCCCTCCCATGGAAGAGCAAAGACTTGCTCTGGATGGAAGTTCTGCAGGTGCCATGGACTGAGAGTAGACCTTGGTGGGGGTGGCGGGGGCGGGGGTTCTCTAAGCCCTCTTGTCATCCTTCTCTTCTCGCCGCCTACCCCACACCTAGGGCTCTGGATACTGGCAGTGGGATGAGCTGGCCACTACTGACTTCAGCCGCTATCCCAAACCAACCAAGGGATTGTTTACAGGAGGGCCAGACCAGCCCTCGGCCGCCATGAGCTGGCGGGATGGCCGTGTCTACTTCTTCAAGGGCAAACAGTACTGGCGCCTCAATCAGCAGCTTCAAGCAGAGAAAGGCTTTCCCAGAGATATCGCCCATAACTGGATGCACTGTCGTTCCCCAAACACCACCGCCTCAGATGGGGACACTGATTCCTCGGTCACAGGCACAGACCATTCAGCCACAGGATAACACTGGATACCATTTCCTTGGGCCATAAATACACCCTGAACTCTGACGGCTCACCCAGAGATACAATCTTGGACGTTATCCCCTCAGTCACAGACTTCAGCACCCTTTCATTCCCTGGTAATGTCACTCTCTCAGAGGCCTGAGACCTCAATCAGATGTCTGCTGCAGCACAAGCGTGAAGCATGGACCTCAAGCCTCTAACTGACCCAGCTCCAGGCCCCACCTCCCTGTCCTCTTCCCTCCTGGTCGGTGACTCTCAGCCTCCAGCTCCGTCCATTTCTCCCCCATCCTAGACAGCACTTCCAACTGTGTCATTTTCTCTCTGGAGGACATTGGTAGAAGAAAGGCATCCATCAGGCATTTAGCTGACAGCAGGCCACAGCTGGGAATGCCTGGGTCCTGTTCTTCTTAGATAAAGAACAAGGAAACAGCATGGCCAGTAAAATGAGCAAGGGCTTTGGAATCCTTGAGAATCACATCAACTTGCTTATGACTTTGGGCAAGTCAATTAACCTTACTAAGCCTCAGGTTTCCCATCTGAAAAATAAGGTTAACACCAATCCCGCAGGGTTGTTGCATTAAGTGAAATACTGCGTGTGAAGCGCCTGGCACATCTGTGCTTAATAAAGGTTAACTCCATGTTCATAGGGCTTCCCAGGTGACTCAGTGGTAAAGAATTTACCTGCTAATGCAGGAGATACAGTTTCAATTCCCTGGAGGAGGAAATGGCAACCCACTCCAATATTCTTGTCTGGGAAATCCCATGGACAGAGGAGCCTGGTGGACTACAGTCCTTGGGGTCACAAAGGGTTGGACACAACTGAGCGACTGTGCGCACGTGTACCATGTTCGTAAGAGAGGACCGAACGGTTCTTCTGGTGTGTGTGTGTGCCGCTCCTACAGTGGCCTGGCCTGATGAAAGTACCTTCATCAGATCTTTAAGGGACAGAGGACTCGTCAGTATGGCTAACTCGTTGTTTTGGGGTGCAAAGAAAGGAAAGAGGAGCAACAGAAGAGGCTAGACTCCGAGGTTCAGTGTTCCATGCCATTTTATTCACATGTTCCCATGTTCCTCTTCCCTCCCATCGTAACCTTGCTGCTGGGGGAGGGACATATCTTCCTTCACGCTGTCTGAGGAACCAGGGAACAGACTTTGGGCAGGTGAATCAGGGGAGCGGAGAGTTAGAACGGGTTAGCGGCTGGGACGATGCTCTGGTTAAGGAGATTAGTGGCCCCTATAGTGAGAGGCAGAGAAGGCACTTGTCTCCCACACAGCCCTGAAGACCAGGCTCCTTTGGGCAAAAGGGCAAGATTCTGGCACGTGGGCCAATGCTCTCTGCTTGGAGCAAGAAGCCAGCTTTGAGGGGCTGTGGGTGCTGAGCCAGGCAGTGCCCTGTGGTCCTCCCCACATTGAGAAGGGAAAGGGAAGCACCATGGAGGACAGATACCCCCAACTGAGGTAGGAGAAGGGGGCTTGAGTCTGGAGGTCCAGAGAGAAAGGCGAACCAGGAACTGAACTGCTCCCTGATGAGGGGCCTGGGAATCAGGGATCCTGGAGCCCCACTGGTGCCCTTCTCCCCATCAAAAAGCTATCACGTGCTTTAGGAGCCTTCCTGATTTTCTATAGGTAGGTCCTCTGAAAACAATACCCCTTACTGATCATTGAGAGGCACACTGAGGCGGGCATACAGAAGGCTACTTGGGTAATGGCCCTCCTTGGTTTGGTTTGAAGGGAATGAGGGAGTCAGTTACTTTAGGGACCAGCGCACCTCTATCACTGCACAGAGGTAGGTGCTTATATTTCCATTCCTCTCCTTACCCCACCCAGAGTCCTCTATATCTGTCCCTGAAACATATCCCTACAGGGCTGGTCTGGGTTGGAGCCCAGATTCCATCTCCAAGTCCAAGAGGTGGGGAAGTCTGTGTGTGGATTCTGCAGGCCCAGGCCCTGCCCACCTAGTGTACCCAGGCCCTTGTTCCCAGGGTGAGGGCATCAGTGGAGGTTCAGGCTCAGGTCCGGGTGGGAGGAACCAGAAGGTGAAGTGAGGGGGACAGTGGAACCACAGTCAGAATCCAGGTCCAGGGCAGTGTGGGGAGCCTGGGTGCCTGGTCCTAGCTGGCGCTCTCGAAGGCTCTGGAAATAACTCTGGAGGGGCAGGGCAGATAGGGCAGAATAAAGGGCCTGGATCAGAACCCACCCTCCCCCCCGACCATCCCCCTGTGCCCGCTGCCGCAGTCCCAGAGCAGCCCCCACGCCTCCACTCACTGGAGCCAGACTGTCGGCAGGGTTCCGTGCGCTGGCAGGGAGCTGGCGCCGGTAGCTGCCTTCACAGAGCCCCGCGCCAGGGGAGGTCCGGTGCCACTTGGCCTCCTGATGACGGATCCGGAGGAGCTGGAGATGCCTTCGCTGGTGACTCAAGACCACTGCTTGGGAGGGGACAATACAGACTCAGGGAGGCCTCTTTAGACTCTGAAGCCCACCCCCAAATACACTCATACTCTAGAGAAACCCATTCGCTTTCCCTGTTACATCTCTCTCAAACCTCATCCCCCTCCCAGTTATTCTAAAGAAGCTTTTCTCTGGAATCCTTCTGCTCTTGCCTCCTGACTTCCCGGAGATCTTCCTATCCTTCCGCATCCGTCCGCAGTAGCTCTTCCTTGCTCCCCAACCTCCGGCCAACTTCTCTGCTCATTCTCACCCAGGCTTCTGACTCCTCCAGCTCTAACTTTTTTCAGTGGACTGCCTCATACACTTTGGACACCTCTGTCTTTTGCCCTCAAGTGTATTTTCCCCCTTCACCTCTTTAAGTCTGGGAACCAGGGACACAGGTTGTCTGCTGTCTATACCACGACGGTAACTCACCATTGGCGTGGCCTCCATGTTCCTCATCCATGAGCTTCCACTGGGCCAGGGCCCCAAGGGCCCCCAGGGCTGGCCAGGTCCCCAGCAAGACCCAGCTATACCAGCAGAGAGGAGGCAAGGCTGGGAGTGCCTGCAAGCGTTGGCCCAGCCGACTGCCCAGCGCCAGCCCCTCCAGGAAGTAGTCAGCACAGGCCACCAGCACCGCAGCACCCAGCAGGGCTGTGCCCAGAACTGTGAATGGCCGTGGCCACCGAAGCGTAAACAGGGCTCCCAGCAGTGCCAGCCCCACCAGCCCCCCAGCTGGCACCCAGGCTGAAGGTGGTTGGTAGATGGGCTCGGTGCCCAGCAGGACCCCGGCTCCCAGGGTTAGGCCTAGTAGGAGACCAGTCAGGAAGAGCCCGACACTGCGAACCAGCATGGTGACCAGGCCGCAGAGGAGTCCGATGCCGAGCGCAATGCCCGCGCTCACCTCCAGGCTCAGCTGTGTCTCTAGCACTCGCTCCTTATGGCACAGCAGGAAGATCACCAGGGCTCCTGACAGCAGGCCTGAGAGAAACATCACTGCCTTGAAGCAGCGGTAGCCTGGGGAGGGAGGCAGGAGGCAATGAGAGGCAGAAAGCGGTGGGTGGGGGAGGGTCGACAGGGACAGGAATGGCTAACCAGAGGAGCAGAAGTCAGGAGCAGCACCCCCAGGGACCTCACGGCCAAGGGCAGAAAGGGGGACTTTTCAGGAACTGTGAGGGGATGGGAGGGCAAATCAGGAGGGAAGATGGATGCATTGAGGGGAATAAGTATAGAGAAAATGATTCGTCCTTTCAGGGATGGTAGACGGGAAGAAATCAGCACAGGCTAATCCAGGTTATTGGGGAATGGAATTTTGCAGTGGGAGGCAAGGGGAGGGGTCAGAGCTGAAGGTGGGCGCGTGGGGGACGGAAGAAGAGCTGGCGAGAGCGGCATCGGCCACACTGGACTAGGCATCCCCCGACAGGGGTGGAGGGGGCTTGGGCAGAGGAGGAGGCTGGCGTCGTGCCTGCGGGCGACAGCCTCGGGCAGCTGCCCCCCAGAACCCTGGCCCCGCCCTCACCGAAGCAGCAGTAGATGATTCCAAAGCAGCAGCCAAGGGCACACACCAGGGCAGGTGCCAGGTCAGGACTGTCCTGGGGTTGCAAGACACATCTCAGGTCTGGAGGCTCTGGGAGTTGTTGATTAAAGGGCCTGGGGTCAGAGGTCATGGCCAGGGGCAGCAAGGCTTCCTCCATGGCCGAAGAGAAGGTGGTCACAGAGGGGAAGGTCAGTATCAGCTCCTCTCATCCATCCATGAATGTCTTGAGGGGGCTGGGAAACCTGCAAGGGGGTAAGGGGGTAGGAACTCAGGTGCCCATGAACTCATGAACTCAGGATGCCTTTTTTTAAAAGAAAGGCCAATTTCAGGATGGAGCTTAGTTCTGCTGGGGAAACTGAAGAAACCTACAGGACAGGGATGAGAGCGGCCAGCTGTCTATCACCCTCTAAAACAAGGACATTTAGTGGAACCTCAAATCTTAAAAGGTAATGAGTCTTGTCTCCCTGGCTTTTCAGGGTGGGGTGGGAGGAGTAGGAAGTCCTCCGTCTGTCTGTGGAAGCGGGTACTGCGGGCTAAAGGCTCAGTAGCCTGTCCCAGTTGAAAAGAAAGCTTGTCCCGTCTACAGCTGGGACTCAAACTCATCCCACTGGATGGGGAAGGGTGGAATTAGTAGAGGGGGGAGGAGAAGGAAGAGGAGAGAATGAGTCACGGTGGGGGTCTCCCAACAGCTGCTCCAACCCCAGAGAGGGAAGAGGAAAAAATCAGACACCAGAAGAGGAATCAAGCAGAGACAGTAACCGACACTTTGTCAGGGCTGGGAAGCCTTGGCTTCAGGTGGAGATGGGGTTATTGGGGGAAGGTGTCCGTCCGGCCACAGTCCAATTCCCACCAATCCCTCATGGACTAAGCAGGCGCCTTGCTCACAGGCATCGCACATCCTCCCCTCAGGACACTGGTGGGACTCTGCACCTTTCCCTTTCCCTGGGATGTCAGGGCTGCCAGTGGGATTTGAACCCAGTTCCTGAGAGAACACCAAGGAGGGCCTGGCATTGGGGGCACTAAAGGAATGGGGTGGAGTGGGCACAGGCACGTCCTTTCAGCTGCTTTCTTTTGGATATCAAGGTCTTAACAGGCAGGGAGGGGACTTGGCCTGGGGAGTCCCTGGGGCTCCTCTCCTCAATCCTTGGAAGTCTGGGGACTCTAATCAAGGAGAGATTGGGGAGGGGGTGTTAACTACTCACCACCCTGTCAGGGCTGAGGAAAGGAGGGGGTAGACGTGCTTCCCTAGACCCCCAGCTGCATCCCTGCCCAGAGTCTTAGGCGTCCGGGCGGCTGTCGGGCGTGGGCACCCCTAGGGCCACTCTGTTCTTTGCCCCCTAAACTCTTGCAAGTCGTATCGCAGCCCAAGCCCCAGTGAGCTAAAAGCAACCAGCTTGGGGGGTGGAGGAAGGGGACAGGGTGTGTGTGGGGGGGTGACATCACGGGGCGGGACCCTCCAAATCTTTTCCCTGTGTGTGTGTGTGGGGGGGGACCCAGTTCGCCTACTGCTCTAGGCTGGGATCAGAGACCCCCAGCCATAGCCGGGAGGGGTTTTGGAGGACCCACAAGAGGTTTGGGGAACGGTCTCTGCATGCCCATGCGCTGACTCAGCAACTCGCAGCTTTCAGGTCCCCCGTGGCGTCCCGGCGCTCCCCTACTCCGGATTGGTTTCTCCCACTTCCCCGAGAATCGGAGTATTGTCTCCGGGAGAACTTGGTGGTCCGGATCGGGGACCCCGGGAAGGGGCTCTTACTGGTCTGGGGCGCCGGCGAGGGGTTCATGGGTAGAAAAACTTGCGGAGCAAGACAGGGGTCTGGAAGGGGGACTAACGTAGAGGCGTTTGCAGAGCAGGGGGCCGACAGAGAGGGTACCCGAGCCGGGTCTGCTTGGGGGCGGGGGCGCTTGTCAGCGTCGACCAAACCTCTTGGTATGCAAACGAGATGCAAAGAAGCACGCAGATGAGGGATGTGTTTTTTGGCACTCCGCTCGGGTCCTAAGCCCAGCGGAGCCACTCTCCCAGGCCTCCGGCCCCGCTTCGTGACGGGGCCTGAGAGCTGCATCCAGAGGGGCGGATACGGGCCGTGGGAGCTACAGTTATACAAGGCAGTTCGCCAGCTGGGTCAGGCGCTGCGGGGGCCGAGGGTTGCTGGGAAAGAAAGGGCAGCGAAGGAGGTCCAGGGTGGGGGCAGGCCCGAGGCGTCCTCCCCTCCGCTCCACCCCGCATGATACCACAGGGCCTCTGTCCTTGTTACAGGCAGCAGGGAAGGGGTCAGTGCGGTGGTTCCTCTACGTTCCCTGGTTTTGTCTGCAAGGGAAACAGACTGGGCTAGGTGGCTTTCCTCTATCTCCTGGTCTCAGCAAAGCCCAAGAACACAGCCAGAGGAACCCCGAGAACGTGCTCCCAGCCCGCAGGCGCTGCTGCAGCGCCCGCCTGCTTCGCTTCCGGTGGAGCAACCTTCGGGGCCTCCACTTCGGCCCGCGGAGGGCGGCAGCAAAGGGCCCTTTAAAGGGCGGAGCCAGCGGCTCCCCAGGACCACCTCCTCTGGTTCGACTCAGCCGGCAGGACTGGCTTGCACCTCGGCAGACCGCTGTTACTTTTCCTTCCCGTGTCTTCCCTGGTGACCTCGGAAGTGGAAGCGGAGCGCGAGCGGGAGGCGGAGCCGGGGGAGCTGCTCTCGTAGCTCCCCCTGGCCCTCGGCCCAGCTGCTCGAGGGGAGGAGTTACCGCCGCTCTTCGGTAGGTTACCTCGATCCCTGCCACCCGGCCCGAGGGTTAACGGGATGGCTCTGTCAGGGGCGGCCTCACGCTCCGCCCCCAGCGGGTCCTGAAGGGCCGCGCGTCCCCACCCTGTTCTGGCAGCCTGCGGCCCCCTTTCCGGTCGTCTTTCCCTTTTTCCCAAGAGGGACCCCGGGACCACACCCTTTGCGGTACCTCCGCTTTCCCCTGTTTCAGGGTTATAGCTTTCTGGGGAGAGAAAAAATAATAGGGGAGTTTGGAGGAGTGGGGGGAGGGAGCAGCGTTGCCGTTAATGTAGTGTTAGCTTTATTGCTGGGGTGATGAATGCCCCCCAAATTTTAAAACAAGGGAGGTGGATGCATTCAATATATACCCAGTTGAAGATTATTTAACCTTTCTGTTGGTCCTATCCTTGATCATCCCCACTTGATACCTCTGTTACAGGCATCAGAATTTCCCATGATGGCTGTGACCTAACATCCTCAGGAAGCCCCGGGGTCATGGCCCAGAAGCACCCCGGAGAAGGAGGGTTGTGTGGAGCCCACCACAGTGGTGGTGCCTCCCTCAGGTCTTTAGGACCCTCTGTGGACCCTGACATACTTTCATTCTCAGGACTCAGGGACTCAGCGCGGCCTGCTCCTAATGGTACCCGCTGCCTCACAGAGCACTCTAGTCCTAAGTACACACAGCCCCCAACTCCAGCCCACTGGTCGGATCCAAGCCATGGACCCCCAAGGGGTCCAGGACCCCCTCTGGCTGGAGAGGACCCTGATCAGAGTGAGGCATCTTCAGAAGAGTCAGGAGTGGACCAGGAACTCTCAAGAGAGAATGAGGCTGGATACCAGGATGATGGGAACTCTTCTTTTCTTTCCATTCCATCTACTTGTAACTGCCAGGGAACCCCTGGAATCCCTGAAGGGCCTTACTCTGAGGGAGGAGATAGCTCTTCTAGCAACTTTTGCCACCATTGTACCTCTCCAGCTTTGGGGGAAGATGAAGAGTTGGAAGGGGAATATGATGAAGAGGAACCTCTTAAGTTTCCCAGTGATCTTTCACGTGTGCCCAGTGAAAAGAAACCTGCACCCCGGAGACAACGGCACCGTATTCCAGCCAAGGAGGACACTCGGGAGGGTGGACGAAGAGATCCCAGATCCCTTGGTCGACATCGGCTGGGCCGGAAGCGGAGTCAGGCAGATAAACGCAGAGGACTGGGATTGTGGGGAGCAGAGGAACTGTGTCACCTTGGACAGGCAGGCTTCCGGTGGCTGATCGAACTGCTAGTATTAGTGGGGGAGTACGTGGAGACTTGTGGCCATCTCATCTATGCATGCAGGCAGCTGAAAGGCAGTGATCTGGACCTTTTTTGTGTCTGGGTGGGAGTGTGGGCAGGGCGGCTGGGGGGCTGGGCCCAGGTGATGTTCCAGTTTCTGAACCAGGGGTTTTGCTATGGGGCAGCGCTGCTCACCCGTTTCCTTAGGCTTGTGGGTGCTTTGCTGCTTCTGGCTCTGGCCCTTTTGTTGGGCTGTTTACAGTTGGGCTGGCGGTTTCTGGTAGGATTGAGTGACCGGTTAGGCTGGAGGGGTAAAGCCACCTGGCTCTTCTCTTGGCTGGCTTCTCCCACCTGGCAGCGGTGCCTGATTCTGCTGAGAGAGAGCAGGCCCTGGCAGCAGCTGGTAAGAATAGTTCAGTGGGGTTGGCTGCAGTTACCTTGGGTCAAACAGAGGACCAATAGGCAGGGGAATGCACCTGTAGCTGGTGGTCGTTACTGCCAGCCTGAAGAGGAAGTGGCTCGACTCTTGACCATGGCTGGCGTTCCTGAGGATGAGCTAAACCCTTTTCACGTGTTGGGGGTTGAAGCCACAGCATCAGATGTTGAACTGAAGAAGGCCTATAGGCAGCTGGCAGTGATGGTGAGTACCCTTCCCTCTGTTTCCAGTTCTTTGTTCCCGTATTTTATTTTCCATTTCAATTTTTAGGTGAGTAGAGGAAGAGAGTAGAAAATTAACTTGAAGATGAAAATTATCTTTAATTCTCAGGAAAGAGTTATAAAGGGAATCTGACTTTCCCTTAAAGTTTTGTATCATGAAATTCTTTTTCTCAGTGAAAATAAATAAACCTGGTATAGTAGACAGTGCTGGACCCACTCACCCTGGAATATCCAGGTGAAATCCCTCCTAGTAGGTTGGAGAAGAGGCCTAGTCAGAACGCCTATCAGTTCCTCCCTCCTGAACAAGCGAGGGGTTTCTGAACACAGGGAAATCCAACTGTCTTCCTAGTGAGGCAAGTGTGGGAGGATTCAGAGAGTACATGTGAGTGATTATTCCAGGACCAGGTGGAAGAAAAGCTATTTCAAGACCAACAACCCATGCTGGAAAAGGGAAGGCGAATGGGACATAAATCTTGGAGAGACATGTACGTATGTATGTCATACATGAAAATGTTGGTGATTAGGTAGGATATAGGTGGCTGTGACTTAAATGCTTGAGGGAAATGGTTTAATACAAGCATGCAATCAAATTGTTTTTAGAAGTAGATATTTGGTTGCTGTTTTTAGATGTGATTGTTAACTGCTATTTCTGTACAAGTAAAACTGTTATGAATATAAGTGCATTCTGCGTGCTAAGTCGCTTCAGTCGTGTGTGACTCTTTGCGACCCTAGGCACTGTAGCCTGCCAAGCTCCTATGTCCGTGGGATTCTCCAGGCAAGAGTATTGGAGTGGGTTGCATGTCCTTCTCCAGGGGATCGAACTTCCATTTCTAAATCTCCTGCGCTGACAAGTGGATTCTTTACGACTAGGGCCACCTGGGAACTCCATGACTATAAGTAATGTGTGTAAATTGCATTGGAGGACTATTTGAGTAAATGGAACTTGACTGGTAAAATACCAGTGTGCAGATTACCTCAGTGGTTGCATGACATGAAAGAGGAATGGGCAACCAGAGTTTCCATTAACCATTCTAGGTACAATAAAATACCCGACCTGAAACTTGACAGATAACTAAATTAGTTTGGTGGGACATATATGCCCCTTATTGGATGGCCTGGGTTATTCTGAGAGTGAGGAACAGTGTTCACACTCAAATCGTTACTAACGGTAGAGGTCTTTCCTCACCTTCATTTCATGTCTTTTAGCAGATTTCGTCTCTTGGGGAATGTCATTCAAAAATTCTCCTTTTCAACTTACTTTCTTGAAGTAAAGTTCCCTGAATCGCAGTAGAACTGTCCCACAACCTGAAGTTACCTCCTTGTTCTGGGCCAGAGTATCTGTGGGCTCTTTTTGGCCAAGCCATGGGGCATGTGGAATCTTAGTTCCTTAAGATTGAACCAGGGATTGAACCTGCACCCCTCGCATTGCAATAAAGCACAGTCTTAACCACTGAACGACCAGGCAGGTCCCTGCATTCTTTTATACAGCCTCACTGCCCTTATTAGGCCCTAACATGACCATTGCTCACATTCTGTAAGCTTGGGGATATGAGAGAGATGACAGCATTCTGCAAGAGACTAGCTTTATCTCTGTTTTTGGTGAATGAGGATGGGAAAAATCAGGGAACTGTAGGAAGTGAGAATATTATTTGTCTTGGAGAAAAGGCTGAAAAGTGCATAAAAAACCTGAGGGTCATGGTCTGTTATGGAACAAAGGCAAGCCATTGTAGGAAGTTTTGACTAGATATGAAAATTCCTAGTTAGAAACAGAGCTTGAGGATTGTCAGAACTCTGTGACTGACAGCAGAGTTAAGATACGAGTTTCGTATGTGTGGCAGGGTGATCAACCATCCTTGCTTGCCTGAAATTGAAAGGTTTCCTGAAACATGAAATTTAAATGCTAAAACTGGGACAGTTCCAGGGACACTAAGAGTGATGGATCACCATAGTGCCAGATTCTCTGTATTCTGCTTCATGTGTATTCTCATTTAATACTCCTAACAGTCCATGATAGATAAAATACTCTAGGTCATGAAGTTAATGAGCAGTAGAGTCAGGACTTAAACCCAGATCTATCTGCAGAGCCAGAACAATTAACCATTAAGCTATATTGATTCTTCAAAAGGATGTTGAATATGAGGTTATCAACAATAACCTGTTGATGAGGTTATTTTGACTCAAGATGGGGAGAGGGTTGGAATGGATATGTAATGAACTCTGTTTTGGTAGGTTCATCCTGACAAAAATCACCATCCTCGGGCGGAGGAGGCCTTCAAGGTTTTGCGGGCAGCTTGGGACATTGTCAGCAACCCTGAAAGACGGAAGGAATATGAGATGTAAGTTGGAGCTAGGAAATTATCAGGTAGGGTAAACGAATAACCTTCAATAGCAGAGATCCCTGGACTTACGGATGAAGGCTCTCCCAAGGTAGAACTGAGGTGGCTTGTCTAGCTGGCCAAGGGCCTCAAGAGGCCAATAGATCTGTCTCCCTTTGTCCCTCACTCAATATCCTGACTTACATAGCCTTTTTTGTCTCAGGAAACGAATGGCAGAAAATGAACTGAGCCGGTCAGTGAACGAGTTTCTGTCCAAGCTGCAAGAAGCAATGAATACAATGATGTGCAGCCGGTGCCAGGGAAAGCACAGGTACGATTTACCTGGGGAAGGGCCTGGGTGACCAAAAACGTTCCTGTATCATTGGTAGCTGTGGAATCTAGATGATAAGGAAAAAGACCCTGAGTTCTACTTTTGCCATATTGTCGAGAGTGAGGATCTGAATTAGCAGCAAGACAAGATAGTATTTCTGGCTTTAAGATAGGTTGAGGGCAGGGCGTACATATGTGTACATAACAACTGAGTGGCGGTAATTTTAGATGTTTGTCAGTAACCATACTTGTGGGTAACAGTGAGACATCAGTGGTGATCAGACTGTAGCGATGCTCTAGGCAGTCTTCACATATTAGTAAGGAACTGTCCTTTTGTTGAATTTCAGGAGGTTTGAAATGGACCGGGAGCCTAAGAGTGCCAGATACTGTGCTGAGTGCAACAGGCTGCACCCTGCTGAGGAAGGTGACTTTTGGGCAGAGTCGAGCATGCTGGGGCTCAGAATCACCTACTTTGCCGTGATGGATGGGAAGGTGTATGATATCACAGGTATACTTCTGTCCTCTGGGAGCACGGGCTCATATATGCTCAGAACTGTGACATTTTGGCTAATTGTCTCTCATGCTTGCAGAGTGGGCTGGATGCCAGCGTGTGGGAATCTCCCCAGATACCCACAGAGTCCCTTATCACATCTCATTTGGTTCGCGGATGCCAGGCGCCAGTGGGCGGCAGAGGTAGGTGGTGTTTCTCTCAACAGTGCATCCACTGTTCTAGTTCTGAATATGGTTTCCAGTGACATGCTGTTTAGGACATGTGGGTGTCTCACCATTGAAGAAGTTTGGGAGCTGACTCAGTATCTCTTTAACATATGTATAAATAGATGAAATAGATAATCATTTGACTCCAGTATCTCTTGCCTCATCATGCCTTCTGTTTTCCTCTCAGAGCTACTCCAGATGCCCCTCCTGCTGACCTTCAGGATTTCTTGAGCCGGATCTTTCAAGTCCCCCCAGGCCAGATGTCCAATGGGAACTTCTTTGCAGCTCCTCAGCCCGGCCCTGGGGCCACTGCAGCCTCCAAGCCCAACAGCACAGTACCCAAGGGAGAATCCAAACCGAAGCGGCGGAAGAAAGTGAGGAGGCCCTTCCAACGTTGACACCCCTCGTCTTGCCTCCAATCAATGTCAGGGAGTCAAAAGGGCTGTGTACAGCACCAGATGGAATTTGATTTGTTTATTTTTAAATATTTAAAAAAGGGAAAATTTTAAGCTCAAATTGTTCACTCAGTACTTTTAGGAAGCCCTGGAACCACTCTCCCTCCTCCACCAGCACCCAGGAACTGAATCTTGTCTTCTGACAATACCAAAGAAATAGGGGATGTCTAGAACAAAGAACGTGGGGCCTGGACCTGGGCTGGACGGTATCTCCCATAGTGTGGGAACTGGGTATTTCCCTGGGGTCTGTATGCCTTTATCTTGTCTTTTGCTTCTTTATCAGACACTTCCCTTACCGCACCCCCTCCCCCCAACCCCGCCTTTAAACGAGTCTATCTTATTTCTTGACTCATTTCAGGAGGGAGCCCCCTCCTTTGCCCCAGTATACTAGTTAAAAGAACAAGAAAGCATGTAACCCTAATTATAGGAGATACGTAAGAGTTCAGAGAGTGGGAACTCTCACATTATGGGTAATCACCCAACTTCATGCTTGTTGCTGCAGGGATGGCCAAAACTAATAATTTTTAAAAAACAAGATTTATGCCCTCTGCCCTTGGGTGAGGGGGAAGGGTAAAGGGGCTTCTGGCAGCCCCCTTAAGATCCAAGGGTTTGTATTTTTTTAAGTTTGTTCATATTTGTATGTACATATCTATTTAAAGCCAGGGGATTATCTTTCTATAAATTCGTAACTGGCAACCTGTACCTTCCCTCTCTTCTCTGCCCATATAGCTGGAGCCCTTTTTCTCATTTGAGAATCTTTTCCTTCCTAAGTGTTAGAGTGAAGGGCACCTCCTGCTGGACCAAGGGAGGGGGATAAAAAAAGTTCCTTAAAGAAATTTTGTAGCTCTGTAAGTCAGTCATTGTTGCATCCTTCTTCTCTAGCTTTATGAAGACATCTCCGTACCCTCCCTGCTGACCAAACTGTAGCCATATATGAAAAAAATTACCTTTATTATAAGGAAAACACAGTAAAACAGAGCTGGAAGGTGGTGGGAGTGGATGATAGGGAAAACCTTAATCAACCAAAAAGCTGCCCAAGCATGGCTTCCTGCTGCGGAGGAGCGCTCTGCCCTGCACCTCACCTGTCTTTCCTGATTCAGAGAAACCTGCTCCAGCAGGGCGGGGCCCCGGGGACCCCATTTTCCAATGAAAATCTGTGAGTTTGCATTTCCAGTGGGGGCGTTTGGGAAAGGTTGCATAGTTCTCAGGCTGTATAGAGAAAGGAGGGATGTTACAGCCCTTTGTTCTAACATCCCCAGCCCCATCTCTCAGTATTTGTTGATGCCAAAGAGACGAACCCCATGAAACTGGGGCAACTTGGGCAGCAGTACGCTAAGCAGTGAGGCCGTGTTGATGAGGAAGTGAGCAGCATCATACTTGGTGTAGAAGCTGGCCAGGAGGTATCTGGGGAGAGAAGAAATAGGTTGTATGAACTTGGCCTTCCCGATCCATATTCAGGCCTTTCCAGCGACTTTGTTTTCTACTTTAAATAAGTTTTACTGCATGCAGTCCTAGGATATTTAAAAATATTTCAACTATATTAACAATATTTACTTTGGGGTTGGGGAGATAATCAGCACCTCTAACTGGAGATTTATAAATTAGTTTGTGCTTTATTTTTTAAAAAAAATTGTTAATGACAGGTGGCAAATGACAGCTGAAGCAGTTTCAGCCTGTGACTGTTAAGAATCCTTTTGGCTACCACTTCTCAGAGATTTACATCAGTTCTGCCTTTACCCACTTCTTTGGAAGTGTAAAATGACTTGTTTTATCTTTGCTTGGTCCCTTCTCCATTCTCCTGCATCACGGGGGCAGCAAGTAGTGCTTGCTCACTGTCTTCTACTTTTTACTGTTCTCACCAGATTTAGAGCTGATGTATCTTCACAGGGTCTAGGGGACTAGAAGTCCACTGTTTTTAAAGGCTCCCTGTGGACCTTTGCACCTGGCTTTTTTATTTTGTATTTTTTTGTACCTGGCTCTTGAAGCATCTCCCCTGTTTCCCCCTGGACTCACAGTACAATGGGAGAGATGCTGAGGAATTTTCGGGAAGAGGTAAACTGCAGCCCGTAGTCCATCTGTTCCCAGTGTGTCAGCAGCCGAGCCTTTCCTTGGTCAGGGGTCTCAAAGGGTGTCCCTTTCACCGTGTGCAGGAAGACATACATGACCTGGGAGGAGGGGAGGGGGCAGTGCGAGGCAGCAAGGCACAAAGCAGTCCCTCAGCTGAGATCCCAAAAGGAAGACCGGAATCCCAAGTAATTGTGTCTGGTTGGGAAGAGCCTGGGGTGGGTAAAGGGGCTTGGTTCAGTGCTCACCAAGTTATGGATGACGTTGGTCAGTGTCCAGACAACAGGAATGCTGAAGAAGGGGATGCTGAGTAGAACCACATGCAGCAGTCCTACCAGGATGACGTAGGCCAGCCAGATGCCCCGGCTGTTCATCACTCGAGTGTTGGGGTTTACTTCGCTGTGTGCCACCCCCACATTCATCCTACCACAGTGGGGGATCAGGCAGGAGTCCAGCTTAATTTCCTCTCCACCCTTCTTGGAGTCTGTTTCTCCAAGTTGTCTCCTGAGTAGCCCAAATCCCCCGGACTCTATTGGGAATGAAAGAGCTTACCCATTACGCACAAAGAAGAAACTGAAGACTTGGGGGAAAAAATTTAGAAGGCAAGACGAGCGCACTCTACATGTTAGAGACATGATAATCTTTGTTCTGAACCTTACACTTCAACTGTAACTTGAAGGAGTAAGCATAGGCGTGGTGCACCTCAAGGAGCAAGGGTAACAGAAATATCTCACTATCCTTAAGAAGTTAATACGGAACCATGAAGGCATGAGGTGCACCCAAAATTACAGAAGAGGGTCATGGGGAAACAAAGAACCACTAAGGAGGGATGAGGGGGTGAAGCGACCTTTTCTAAGCTATCCTCGGTCAGTTCAGTCACTCAGTTGTGTCCGACTTTGAGACCCCATGAACTGCAGGATGCCAGGCTTCCCTGGTGATGGACAGGGAAGCCTGGCATCCTGCACAAACTCATGTCCATCGAGTCGGCGATGCCATCCAGCCATCTCATCCTCTGTCGTCCCCTTCTCCTCCTGCCTTCAATCTATCCTAGTCCCCACCTTTTCCTCTGGGGCTCCCCCGTCCTCTCATCTCCGTGGCATGTAAGCAGGCAGCTGCAAGAATGTGCCCAGGGCTTTTGCACTGAACTAGGAGGGGACGCGAGCGTCTCGAGAGGTGGAGCTCTAGTCCCGACTTAAGGGCGGCTGTAACCGTCTGAACTTGGCCCTTTTAAAATCATGCTTGCCCTGAAGTTGATGACGCCGGGTCAGGACGCAGGTCTGGCCTGCTCTCTACCTAAAATGCCCTAAACCCCAGTAATGATTTGAACTCGCCCCCTGGCTCCTCCCAAGACCCTCTCCTTCGTCGTCTTCCCTTAGGGTTGTCTTCAGAGCTCCTCTTTCGGTCTGTTGCTCGCCGCCGCTTCACCCACGCAGCTCGTTCGCCTCCCACCATTTCGCCTTAGCACCCTTTCCCAGGCTCTCGGTAAACTTACCTGCCAGCTTCGGAAGCCCGTCCGGGTCGGGGCGCGGCGCTTGCTTCTACACCTGCGGTCTCCAGGAAGCAGCCTCCCCGCCCATCTGCGCTCTCCCTATTGGTGGGGCAAGGTCAGCGCCGCCACCACTCATTGGCTGGAGATCCGCCACGGGGACGCACAATTGGTCACCATTTCCGTCGTTCAGAAGGTGCCGAACCCGCCCTTCTCCAGGTCCCGCCTTTTGAGAGAGGTGGGGAAAGCCGCTTGGAGGAGTGGGGGCGGTGCCAGCTATAGACTAATGGAGAGAGCTGATAGTAAGAGGCGGGAGTAAGAGCTCCAACGATTGGCCGGCAGTGGCTGTAGGCGCCGAGGCGGGAGCTCCCGGAGGTGGAGGCAGCGGGTGGGGGCCTGGCGGAGTGGAGGGGTCACAAGATGGCGACTGAGACGGTGGAGCTTCATAAGCTGAAGGTACCGTGAAGGCGGGGAAGGGCCGGGTCGGACTTTTCCGGAGACTAAACTTTCCTGGCGGGTTGGCGCCTTTTCCTGGAAGGTTCTACTCCATTTTCTGGCTCCCGCCATAGTTCTGTTCTTTTGTGCCTCCCTTCTTCCCCCACTACGCCTTTCCTCATTTCCTGTTTCTCCTCACGGTTTTCCCGTATCCTTACTTGTTATTCGGCGCCTTCCTCCACTGCGGTGTCATCCGTCACCTCTCTACCTGGGTGTGGAAGTGCCTTCAACCTGTTCGACTCTCTTCTTGTTTCTCGTCAGACTGCATTACGTCAGTGGTCCCCTCCTCCTGGCCCCGTGCGGAGCCAGGGACCCCTTTTTCTCCCCTGGGTTTGTGCTTTCCTGTCTGTTGTCCAAAGTGGAGATTCCCGATAGCAAAGGATGGCAGCTTCGTTTATTTCTGTCTGTCTAGGTCTCAGCCTTGATCCAGAAAATGCTTCCGTTCCCCTTTTTTTAGATGGAGTGACGCCCATGGGGCAAATTTGGAAACCTGAGGAGAGGCCTCCGAAGATAGGCCTCCCCTTAGAGGCCTGGGCTTTAGGAGACTTGTAAGAGGTAGTGAAGGCACAGAAGATACTCCAGGTTGAAAAGTTTTCGAGTTCTTTCAACGCCGTTCTCCGCCTACCAGCCTTACCCCCACCCTGCGCCCCACCACCCCAGAGACAAGTCACTCAGAACTGTAATATTTTGGGAAAACGTTTCCAAGGTTAGGGTTACCTCTGTCCCATTTCATTTCGCGGGTAGACGCTGCATCTCTTGGTCTCACCACTGGGTGACACTCAATCACAGAAGACTTTTTAAGTTCTGTCTTGGGAATCTTGAGAGCCTTTTCGTATTTAGATTTTTTTCTTCGAAGTAAAGAATGGGTTTTTTGGGGGGGGGGGAGTTAAATTAAGAGAGTATCTCAAGTTGTCCATCTGTGATTTCACAAGTAGTTTTCCCATCACTTTTCAGTCATGTTTTGTTCAGGTCCTGGAAGCCTTTGACAAACCAGGTTGAATTGGCCCATGCTGAAAACTAATTCTTTAAAAAGTTTGATGAGCTTTAAAAAAAAAAGTGTAAAGAGAATAAGGTTAAAGAGAGAGAGGTCCTCTTAATCACATTAGTTGACACCAGTTAGACTTTCATTGAAAGTTGATAGTTTTCTTACTCTTGGAATCTAAGCTGTACTAGGGGGATTTTGTGTTAACCTGGAGTTACTGTTAACTTGGTGGTACCGAAATGAGTGATTGTGTCAGTCGTCTGCTAAGAGAATAACAAGTAAAAAATTGAGCAGCTACTTCCATTATATGTATACTAACTTGTAAATTAGTACTACTATATGTTATGTACTACTGTTTGTATGTTATGAAAGAAACACAAGGAATTTTTTAATGGAATAAAAAGGAAATATGAATATAAGAGCTAATGTTTTCTTCCTATTAGTTCCATTTTTGAAACCCCTTGAGTAAGTCACTAGCTTTGTGACTTGCCTTTTTTTTTTTTTTTTCCATTTATTTTTATTAGTTGGAGGCTAATTACTTTACAACATTGCAGTGGTTTTTGTCATACATTGAAATGAATTAGCCACGGATTTACATGTATTCCCCATCCCGGTCCCCCCCCCACCTCCCTCTCCAGTGACTTGCCTTTATAGGTTTTGTTTTGCTTTATGGAATTCCACCTTCCATAAAAATCTGTATGTCAGTTCCAGATTAAATCTGGTTTTGATTGGATAATGTCCTCTGATCTGATTTCAGGTTGTTATAGTCTTAGAGAGCATGAGGCAGTCCTAATAGCCTAAAAAGGATTCACTCTTTTAATCATATTTGCTTGTCTTTGCTTTTTCTCTAGAGCACTTCTTAACCTTTTGGAGGTCACAGATATCTTTGAAACTCTGATGAAAGGTATGGACCTCTCCCCAGAAAAAGGCATGTACACATAACTTTGCATGCGATTTGAGGGGCTTCATAAAATTATCTTGGAGCCCTGAGGAGTCCATGGACCTCTGGTTAAGAACTCATGCCTTTAATTCTGACTTCCAGGACAGTTAATGTTTGGTTCCACTGTTGATCATGGAGTGATCCTTTTGGGTTGACCTAGGGTTTATTCATCTCTCTCTTAAAAAAAAAAAAAGGCTTTCCATTTTTATAAAAGGAATTTGGGGCTGTAGGGTGGAGTCTCAGAGGGAAAGAGCAAGCTTTGAAGTAGGAATGAAAAATACCTATCTGAATTGATTATGTAAAGCCACATCAACTGCAAATTTGTGAAGATTTTGTAGAAATGGAGTCATTCCAACACAGGTGGAAAAAGACTGAATTGTGGGTGAAAAATGCCTTGAATTGTTATAGTACCAGATTTCCAGTCAGTTGTAAGAAGAGGGACTACAGAGGAGAGAACTAGAAGGGTGAATAAAGAAAACAGTGAGACATTTGTAATAGTGAAGCATAAAGTACATTTGTGTTGGTGGTTGAAGATAGTTTGGAAAAGGAAAGTAGGTGAACTGTGTGACTGTAGGTGTATTGGAGTGATACTGAAAAGGACTTCAAAGTTGTGTAAGGTGTTTGGTTTTTGTCATACAGGCAGAAAGTGGGGAACCTTTGAAAATTTGAAAGGAGGAGCTGATGTGATCAGTTGTGTTTTTTTTTTTTCTTTGCCATGTGGCTTGTGGGATCCTAGTTCCCAGGCCTGGGATGGAACCCCAGGCAGTCTGCAATGAAAGCACAGAGTCCTACACTGAACTGCTAGGAATTTCCCAGTTTGTGTTCTTTTGGCGGTAAGAAGGATGGGGTCTGGAGAGGAAGAAATTTCACCAGTTAGATTTTTATTATAGTAGTCACTCCCCTGCTTAAAACCTTTTAATTATATCCCTGCCAGTATCTAGTTTAGTTTCTCAAATTCTAGCTAGTGACTTTATTTCACTTATCAGAATGGCTCTTCATTAATTGCTAACATTTACTATGTGGCAGACACTGGTCAAATCAGTTTGTACACATCAGTTGATTTCTCACGATAATCCTGAGGCAATAAAGTAAATGCCTGTGTTGTCCCCATTGAAAAACGAGAAAAAATGGAGACTTCCCTGGTGGACCAGTGGTTAAGATTCCATGCTTACGTTTCGGGGGGCTGAGGTTCGATCTCTGGTTGGGGAACTAAGATCCCACATGCTTTGTGATTTAGCCTGAAGGAAACAAAAAATGAGAAAAAATGGAAGCTCAAAGAGATTGGGTAACTTGCCCTAGGTCATGTACCTAGTAAGTGGTGGCTCAAACACAGGCAGTCTGTCTCCAGAATTCCTGTTCTGAATTGATGTGCATGACTGCGTCTCCATACTCATAACCTTTATACATGCTTTTGGCTGCATTGCTCTTGCCACCCCCATACCTTTATTTAATCAACTGTTAGTTTCCCTTCAGATATCAGTCAAACATCATTTATCCAATGAACCCTTAGGTAGGATGG